TTCAAAGCGTTCCTCGTGTACCTGGTGCGATGAGAAGACATTAATTAACGATCGCTCGCGAATGGGACGAATGCAGGTGTCACTGGATCCCGTTCATGTCAAGCGACGTCAACGGGGATACAGATGGTGCAGGTGACAGTGTCTCATCTGTGTTAGCTAAATTGAAGCCAGCTCTACGGAGGATACCCTAACCGCAAGCGACAATGGAGCAAGAGAGTCAACTACGATCAAACAGCAGTGGACATATTTTTGGGACGCGCCATACATGTGAATTAAGTTACCATGTGTTGCTTTTGTGCGTCGCATGCCCCTATCGCCACATCAGAATTCTGCATAGCGGTCATCATCGCATTTGCCATATTGCATCATATTCAACTACTAGCTGACCGCCACGCACAATTGAAAATTTCTTTCACCTCCTCCCCTCGAACAGATCTTGGGGCCACCACTGCCTCTTACGTATTCAACTAAAAAGTTTGGACATAGAACTTACCTGTACTGTCTTAGACAAGTACATGAATAAGTTATAGGCGGAATAAGCAGCAAACCCAACGATATTCAGCGCAAGGAAATCGAAGTTGAGACCGATAACACTAGAATCATACGTGTTTCTTTTCTAGTGATAGAAATCGATGAGATGCTGTGACTGCTCACCTTTTTCTTTGAATGTTGAGTAAAATTTGAGGATAGAATGAGATGCTCCATGCTGTAAAGTACGCCCATCCTACAATCATTATCAAAGCGGCAACCAGCGATGATCGCAAAACGACAACTTCCAAATAGAACTCTTTTCTTCTGAACGCAGAGGTATTGATGCAACCTAACATTTTCGAAAAGCGACACACATTTTGTCACAATCTTTTCCTGCAGATGATTGGTTCAAAAATAGGCGTGTGCAACTTTTGAGCTTAAGCTGATGGCCTTTAGTCGGCTGTAGTCCATTAACATTCAATGAGCCTTCTCGTGATTCCGCCTTTATTAGAAGGGGCTCTACCATAACATAAGGATTTCCGACAATTTGAAGTTTTACATCGCTTCTGAGAAGTAACCTGAATTTTTCAACAATAAAGCCGCTTTATGTATAAAAGTAGCGAAAATCTGACAGGGGTGATGCTTTATGGATAAGTAGTCTTGATTTTTCAAATGTGGTAAGTGTTGTCCAATGCGGTTCCAAACGCTGAGTTCAGATTTTCCTCTGGATCTGCTCTCCTAAATGAGTGAGAGTGACTACTCCGGGGATTGCAGTGAACATTTTGGTGGCACTCTTGCATTCTTCTGCTTTGCAATATAAGTGCCCAAACATCTTTGGTACTCAATATGTTAATGCTCTAATGCTTTTCATTTTTGGTGATGATGTTCGGAAATTTGTAGAGACGAAAACTTCACTCCATGTGAAGCTTAATGTCGGCATGTCTGCTTGTTCTGTCTGTATGTGCACATGTTCCGAGTAAGTTCAATTCTTGAACTAATCAGTACCAAACTTTGCGCAGAAACAATTCGGGGAGGAGGCAGTTGCAGAAATTTTTCGGCAAAGTGTTCGGTGTGGAATTTAATACAGGGGACGAGAGGGACTGTCACCATGTTGATTACGAAAAGTGCAATCGTCTCCAGATAGTAATCGTTTATCAATTCTACCGATTTCTGCGAACTTTTGAGGACGTTGGGAGGTGTTACAGTATTTATATGAGCATTTTTACATAAAGAAACTTTCCAATAGAGAGGAGTAAAGATAGAGAAATGCTTGTGAAACTGGTGGGATAAGTCTTATTATGGGTTATCACGTTGAAAGTGTACCATATTGCCTGTACTCAATGTCTCAGCCCACCAGCTTTGGGGTGGAGGACATGAGGTCGCCGAATGTGGAAAGGT